ACCAGTATATTTTTACTGGCAACGAATACTCATCTGTAAGTAACAGGAGCACCCTATGCAGACAGAGCCTGTGGGAAATATTGGGTGCGGCGCAAATGAGCGGAGGGTGCGGAGCTAACGGTCATTTTTGAATTTAAAATTAGGATATTTCTGAAACTAAGCCGTTTTGGGACTTCAAATATACGAAGATATGTGTATTTGACACCAAATATCAATAAAATTGTGAAAATAGTAGTGCAATTCATTTTATAGCGACGCAGTATGCCTTAAACATTTCCCAGACCTATATATTTTGAGACTATCCTTTTAATACTGCGTCCCAAGCATTCATAAAAAATGGTGTTCAAGATTCACTACCCATGCAAATTATTTTTGCATCTTGGAAGCCAGGCAGTATCTGTGTGAGTTTATAAGGATTTGGAAATGTTCTTCAGATATGAGCCCCCTCTAAATATTGGGTGCGGAGGTACGTTTATGGAGCTGCTTCGCACCCAATATTTAGAGGGGGCTCATATCTGAAAAACATTTCCGAATTTTTATAAAATCACACAGATACTGCCTGGCTTCCAAGATGCAAAAATAATTTGTATAGAGAGTGTACCTTGAACATCATTTTTTATGAATGCTGGGGACTCAGTATAAAAAGGATAATTTCAAAAGATATAGGTCTGAGAAAGGTTTAAGGCATACTGCGTCGCTATAGAATGAATTGCGCTACTATTTTCACAATTGTATTGATATTTGGTGTCAAATACACATATCTTGGTATATTTAAAGTCCCAAAACGGCTTAGTTTCAGAAATATCCCAAATTTAAATTCAAAAATGACCGTTAGCTCCACACCCTCCGCTCATTTGCTCCGCACCCAATAGTTCCCACAGGCTCTGTCTGCATAGGGTGAGGAGTAATAACTCAAATGATGCAAAATATCAACCTTTTAATCAAAACACAAGGTAATTTACATTTTGCAAGAAACCTAATCAGATCTTGACACTGGTCTGCTCTTGCATCTGTAAAATCATGTTGAATGGGTAAGCAGTTTTCTTGGAATTTTGATGAAGATGCCCAGCCCACCCACTTGCCCACTAAGAGAGGTGCATGCCTCACCAAAAAATGCATGTTTATGATAAACAAATTCAACAACCAATCAAATAACAGGAGTTATGGACTTTCCCGGTATATTCAAACTTCAGATTGAATTAATTTCTTCGAAAATAATTAGATCAGCCAGCACAATCGCAAAATTAACACTGAAAGAGGGGGATTTGGGACTTCTTCTTTGGTAAGTAGATGGGTATATATGTGGTGAAACTCAATATGCAAAAAAGTCCAGAGGGGTCTTGATTGTGCTATCCACTGGCATAGTGCCTCTTTAAGATTCAGTAAAATGTGAAAAAATTGAACCTGGAAATAACATGAGGCTCATATCTTTGGAAAACTATTCTGAATGGATTCTTTCAAAATTAGTATTAATCAAAAGAAATGTTTGGAGAAAAATAAATTGATCCAAAATATTTTGTACCTTGCATGGCTTATCTCCCTAGTAATTGCCACAGAGTGACTATAGGAAGGTTATGGAATATACAAGGTAATGCCCTCACCAATCCTAAAATCGGGGACAAAGTTGATCTTCAACATTGTGGAAAGGGAATTCACCTCAAGTTCTGTGAAGAACATTCAGCTCCCATATGCCACACAGACAGAGCCACAATGTAGACCAGTTAACTGGACACATGTGGATATCAATGTTGATATATTTTAAAATAAAAACAAGTCATTTTTAATTTTCTTGAAAGGGCAGAACTACCTTATCCTAGGCAGATAATTTGAGTAAACATATTGAACTAATGGATAAATTTGAAAATATCAGATTTATCTATTTATTTTGCATAGTGCGAGAAATTTGCTTGCAGGTTATTTTTGGGAGTTTCAGCAGCGTTCATATTTTTGAAAATAACATGTCAGAGAAGTTCTAAAATACAGTTTATTAAACAAATCACAAAGAATACAAGATATGCCATCAGTTTACATGTATAAGGTCTAGTTTTTTATTTCGGAAACCAGTTCATATGGTTAAAATAACTAAATGTTGTGGTGTAACCATGTTTCTACTTACCAGTATGTTCTATGTCATCTATCAGACTATGTTACATTGTGAAAATCAGCTAAACACGACAATGAAGGCAGTATTCGGAGGTTATAAAATCTAAATCTAAATAATTTCCCATTTGTAGCACCTTGGAGACTTCGGAATTGAACAAAGTAGCGAACGTTGCAATCTTTCAACTTTAAGTTCGTTGTTTTTCACCACTTTATGTGTAGATTTTTAATTTACTTATTTCAATGCATCATTTCAGGTCTTTATGATTCATAAAATCAATAAGTTTCCTAGTGTAACATCTTGAATAGAGTTGATTTAAAATAGACAGTAGCTTCAGTGGCCCTTCCTACAATACTTGACATCGCTATCTTGGAATATTTTCTTCAGTATTCAGCAGCAGATGTCCAAAAACCATTTTTCTAATAAATAATATCTTTCTTTGAAGACATGGTTGAGTGACATGTCACAAGTCACGTGATATCAACTAGTAACTAGAGTCCATTTCACTGCTTCATTTCGTCAGTAGAACGGCAAAAATAAGAAATTGGGAGACCATTGTGCAATAATATATGGAAAAGTATATTCATAATGTACATGAATGACATTTGTATACAGTGTGTCTCAAAGAAAACGTTACACTTACAAAAAGTTCAATATCTTTCATAAGTTTGACTTTTCCCCTAAAATATACTTTAGATACCAAAAGACAAATCTTTCTCGAATAATTTGACACCATCAGATTCAAAATCTGTCCATGATTGGCTCAGCTTTTAGTGTTCCATGGTAAAATCTGACTTGCGCCAACTTCTAAGTGATTGGATGGACCAAATGACAAAAGAGGAACAGTTTCTTTAACATTTAACTTTCTTCTGAGTAGAAGCTTGACCTTTAACTGAGTCATTCTGTAATTTTCCTATTTGTCTTACATGATCATTGGGTCTATCCACATAAACATGCGGTCCCCTCAACATGTTCTCCAAAGCAAATCTGAGGTACCCTTGCCCATGCGCATATGCATTGTAATATCACACTGATTCCATCAATTATTTTTGCAGAAGTTCATTTAGGTCAGTTTTTGATGCTGTAAAGTGCTTTCAGAGGCCCTTCAAAAATCAAGGGTGTAAACTGGGATGACCCTGGGGGCAAATCCATCGGGTACTTAATTCAATGCTATCATCTGATTTCCAAAGAGTTCTACCAAACGATCGATCTGCCACAGGCCTTTGCACCATCCTGTTGCCATCATACGTAACAAAATTGAACACTCCGACAGTGAAATCTTGTACTTCTATCCAGGAAAGAAACAACTGGATCATTGATCATATCAAGATATCACTGCCCACAGCATTCACACCAAAAAATAATTGGTCACCACATGTCCAACCACTGAGAAATTGGCGCAAATCAAATTTCACATGCGTCTATAAAATCTGTCCTGTACAGCCAATCATGGACGGATTTTCAATCTGATGGTGTGGATTTATTCGAGAAAGACTGGTCTTTTGGTATCTAAGTATATTTTAGGGGAAAAGTCAAAATCATGAAAGATATTGAACTTTTTGTAAGTGTAACTTTTTTTTGAGACACACTGTATTTCAGATTTTTTAGTTTTTTTGTGCAATAAGCCTGTGCTGTCTTGTAATTTGAAGAATTTCAGCCATGTTAATCTTATTGAAAATAACATGGCAGAGACACATCCAAATATAAGAGGCCACAAACTTTATAAGCCAAACTAGAAGCAATCCAAGATATACAAATGTCATTCATGTACATTATGAATATACTTTTCCATATATTTTTGCACAATGGTCTCCCAATTTCTTATTTTTGCCGTTCTACTGACGAAATGAAGCAGTGAAATGGACTCTTGACACGTGATCAGACACGTTACTGGCAAAATGGATGATCCGAATTTCAACAAATTCTGCTGAGATCAATATCGATATGTTGCCTTCAGTGTCGTGTTTGGCCGAGTTCCACAATGTAACATAGTCCGATAGATGACATAGAACATACTGGTAGTAGATATGTGGTTACATCACAGCGTTTCGTTATTTTAACCATATGAACTGGTTTCCGAAATAAAAAACTAAACCTTAGTATGAATGTAGTTCTGCATACAATACTGCACTACGGTCTTTTATTGATTATTTTTGATTGATGAGCTCTCACTCAAGTAACTTTTCTCATGGAGAAATAGAATGGACTCGGCAATTGATTGATAGTTCTTTGGCTTCCAGATTATAGTCAGGTCTTACCTACCTTCACAATGACTGCCTTGCGGCCAGCATATCGTCCTCCAAGGACCAACACAACCTTCCCAGACTTCATAAACTTGCCCATAGTGGCTGAAAATCAATGTTCATAAATTGATGTAAATAACGTAAATGTTTGGAAAGTGGATCATTATATTATAACTGTTTGAATAGAAACAGTAATGAATTCAACTTAGCAAAAATTAAAAGCAAAATAGTCTGTGTGTACAATTTTTCATATTTATGGAGCAGGACTTGTCTAAAACTGGTTATTTCTAAGCGTTTCGCACATCCGTAGGCATGAAATCATCTTGAAAGATCGTATTGATACCTCTTCTTTCAGTAAATACATTCTGTAAAGAGAAAGTTTGATTAGCTTTCGAGATGTTTTACGATTTTCAAGGATTTTTTTTCAATAAATATACCTTGCAAGTATGGCGGAAGTAAAAGAACGTTATTCTCGCAAAATCTCGGAGTACTAAAAATATAGTCACTACCTACAACATTCAAGCCATCATCATTTACGTTTATCAGGTTTTTGGTTTCTTAACGAGATATGAATAATAATCACTATATAATAACTTGAATATGTCATTTATGGCCCTTTTTGCGCAAATTTTGACTAATAAACATGTGGGTGAAAATTTGAAAATGAGGCTTCAATATGCGCCCTACGGACTGTAGGGAAGCAACATGTAAAAATGGCTGCAATATACAAAAGTTTTGCGGATACATTTTGGACGGAAAGTTTCTGGTTACCCAATAATCATACTTGGAAATCATTGGAAAACAAGGACAATGGAATATACTATCCACAATTCCATGATCTTTACGTTCCGTTCATCGTAGCTGCAGTTCTACTGCTAATCAGAAAAATATTTGAAAAGTGAGTTGTCTTTTTTGAACTTTTGCCGGGAACGAATTAAAATTTGAGGGAGCTTTACTCTGTGAGTTAATTTAAACCTGGGTCTTAAAACAGCAACATGGACATAAAGTACTGTAAAATATACTGAATAGAAATAAACATTGTGTATGTCGCCAAGAAATATCTTCAAATGGTAATAAAGTGGGTGTGGCAGATTTTGAATCGCTTGGTTGTGAATTCATACGATCTCAATTATCAAGGTCCACGACTTACAGTCGTGCGATCATTGGATCTTACTGAACACAACTGGCTCAAAAGCCAGCTGATGGAACATTCAAATATACCGTCTTGTGAAGTGGTTTTCCAACTTCCAGCAGTCACGCTGGAATAAGTAACTTAGAAGATAATTGAATGTAACTTGCCCTTTTCATGACTCATGGTGACAATAAGTCCTACTTGTTGTGTAATTTGCAGTTAAAGTGAAGAAATTCCAGACCTGGTGCGCACCATTTTTAAACTTTTTGTGCATTCGTGCACATGTGCATTGTACGTTACATGCGCATGCACATTGCCGCGGAAAGATCAAGTGCTTTTTCTTATTTTTTACATTTGACATGAAACCTTGAATGAAGATGAAAATTAAAACAATATATATTGTGTATTAAGATAATAAAATATCATGCAATGAACAAATTGATATGTTGTGGTACATATAATCTCGTGGTAAAGGTGTCATATTAACATGTTCCTAGATTTCATCGATGTTCAAGAGCGATTTTATTTCTCTGACATGTTATAAAGTTTGCTAATTCAGGTACTCTAATTGGTTTACATAATTGTTATAGAAACAAGTATACAATACAATATATATTGTTGAAACAAATGGGATGTGCAGAATAGTTTTTTCAGTAGAGGCCAGAGTAGAGTCACAGCTTTACTACATATTTATACAATCAAGAGAGATATAACATTTTGGTGTCTGTAATATTTACATGTTTCTGTTTTGAATATCTGGTCTGTTTGGCAGCTTCTAAAACAGTCCACAATGATCTTGCCATTTTCAATAAATTTTGGCATGACTAGCATAACAAAAAGACAGTCTGAACTTTCTTCAGCAGTTCTGTCGATAATACCCAATAACGCAGGCTGGTCAGACATTTTCACAAAGTGTGGTTTCAAGGTTTTTAATTTCCAGAAATGGATGAGCCCAATGTAAATGAACATGACATTATTGTCCTAAGGAATGTTGGGGCTGGAGCCGCGTGACCCCTAGACTGTATCCTTCGTCTGAATAAATATTCAGACTGTAAGTCACCTATTGTAAAATGTGGTGTTGAATAAATGTTACAAATAAGTTTGTTAAATGATAAAATGATTACCTTGTAAAGTACTTACAATATTATTTTTTCGTATATTGTCCTCTTACTGAAGATATTCATAAAATGTACAGACGCTTCTTGTAGCGAAGCCATTGATTAGGTCAAGCCATTTTGGCAATGCCAATTCTCACGATAAACGAGATTTAGCCAGTGACGTCAGTCTATTTGTAAACAAATAACACGTGGAGCGGACGGAAGCGTGTTGATAAATTCCATTTGTGCGGGAATTTATTAGATCTAGTCATTTATTATCATTATCCCGATTAATTTTCTTCATTTATAGTAAATAGAGCGGAAATATTTATGAAGAAGGCCGAGGTAATCAAGTGGTCATGTGTTGTCAAAGTTCAAAAAATTTGCATATCTCGTTTGGATCTCGTGAACTCAAACGTCCTTGACATTGATTTCGCGATGTACTTATAAACACATCCTGAAGTTTTGGTGAGTCTGAACATTTCATTATTTTATATCAACTTGTACCCGCCTTATACAAATAATTTTGCTTCTAGTTTAAGATGAACATCTCTTCAACATATTCAGCAATTTTCAAGGTGAACATTCTTGTAATAAACGAGAAATTTATGTGCAAAAAATATCACCGCGATTTCCATAGGAAATATATCAATCATAACAGACCGAATATTATATTCGGTCTGTTGGATACATACTAGCGTGACCCCACTTCCTGCCCATGGAGCTCGGCCAGATTCATCAGTGTAGTAGTGCCTTAGTCGTGTAGTTATTCTAAGAATTAATACTGCACCTAGCCACTACGTGTAGTAGTCTAAATTGATGAATCTGGCCGAGCTCCGTGTTCCCACCCTGTTTGCCTGGTCTGTAATGGCCAATGGTTGATAACTTTTATTCAGATGTATAAACCACTAATATGATTTGTTTCAGTGTTGTGGCATATCCACTAGGAAAGTGGTATAATCTCAGGGAAAAGGGCTACAGACCACCCCCTCCAGATACAGTCTTAGAGGCAGCATATCGTCAAATAGGGAAACACCCATCTCATAAAGATCTCCAGGTACATGTTAGATTCTTCTTACACCAACCTCCCTATCATTATCATAGTAACTGAGTGACTATCATTTCGTTAGGAATTTGGTGTTGTCATCATATAACCTAGCAGGCACTCATTTGCAGGTACTGCTTAGATTTAGAATTTATTTTTTTCTCCTTGATGAAGCTACCTTTTAAGAAAATGAAGTCTGACTTATATAAAGGGCAGTAATCTCCCCAGCATTAAAGCAAGTGGGCGCAGCACCCACCTGAGATTTTGAAAAAAATGCTTGCACCCACCTGAAAATCCATTTGCACCCTTTTGAAAATGAGAAAAATCATGAAAATAGGCATATTTTGGTCAATTTTAGTCTAAATTGTGACAATGAGAATTTTGCACCCACTTGAGAAAAAGTACTGTGAAGACCACTGAAGGGGTATGGCTGTATTGATGTCCTTACTTTATATTCACAGGAGTTTGGGACCTTTTGCCATTTGACAAGTTAATGGTAATATGTAACTAGATTTATTGCCAAGTTTCACCAGCAACGTATGCCACCAAACTTGTGTGCCTATTCAAAATTATGATGAGATAGATAGTGTCCAAGGTTTACAGCGAAACAAACAAATTCGATAAAATAGATTAATAATCTAAAGTTTTGTGACCTTATATATATCAGAAAATTCACTACAAATAAATTCCCTTATACTGGCCATCTGAACTGCATGTTCAGTGAAAATAGTGAAAAACAGTGAATATTTTCCTTATAATGTTATACAGTTGTAGATAGATATTAAGAGTTACTACGGCAGATTTAGATTTATTGGATCAATCTGACACTGGACATATAAATAAACTGAGAAGGTGTGCAGGATTTCTGTTAAGACACAGAGAATGCTCATCTGCCACATTCACAGTAGGAGTGATAACATAGATCCACATTTGCTCTATGGTGGTCAAATGGTGGCAGTAGCTTCGCAAAATCATTATATTGTACTGCTTCTCCCTGTGCTGTATATTTCTCTCGATTTTGGGCACCCATTATGCTGCCCTCGTATGGTTGCCGTAGATAAAATTTGACTGAAGCATTACTCCCCTCCCCTTATGTTTCTAGGTATCTTCAAATATGAATTAATTTTCCCAAGCCCTATGCACTTTTATAGTCACATGTATATTCTTCTATCTACCCTTGAGTCTATTTTGAGCCCAAGAGATAAAATTTGGAATTTTTGAATAACGATTTTAAAATCTTTAGGTATCATTTGTTTATGGCCAAAGTAGGAATCAATACTCGTCATCTTATTCATACTTAAATGCTAGTAGCTTCAAAACATAATATTATGGATATGTTATTGTCAATAAAAAATATAGGTTGAGTGGTTTGATTTTTTGATAACAAGCATATTACAAATGAAAACTATTATGATTTTAATTTTAACAAGGTCATGGTTGCAAAATCCTTCAGAATGAACAGATAATTTTGGACAAAACGATCAGTCTGAGAGTAAATTGCCTTTAACTTCTGCTTTTGAATCCCATGACAAAGGTTCTAGACATAAATGTGGTGATGGTCACATTTCAAGCGTAAAATTGGGCAAATAATAGTGAAATTAGCAAGGAATATAATTGCCAGTCATGTTAATAACATTCAAAACTATACAGTGGTGCCATAAAACTAACCACTTTATTTAAATTATTGAAATTAATTAAATGAAATTGTTATGACCAGAAAGAACATTCAAGCACAGGTAATCAATATTGTCTGAGATGAAATATTTGTTTTGAGATTACCTTTGTAAACATAGAATGGGGGGGGGGGTGTTCCTATTAATCATTAATCAGCAGCAAGAATGCAATATTATTCTGAGCCTGAAATTGCTAATCTGAATTCATATTGAGCCAAAGTTATGATTAAAACCAATCTACATGTAGCTTTAGCTTGATAATTGCAGTATTGTAGCTTTATGTTTAAGAATATTGTTGTACCAGGATAAGGGTTGGTATCCAGTTGTCAAGGTAAATCTGTTACGGGGAAGGGTCAATGAAGATTTCATACATTGATCTTAAATGTAAGATTCAGGTAAAAAAAGACATGATCAACAAATTACATATTTTTTTACTTGGGAGAGGGGAGGGTTAAATCATACTAGAATTAATTGTTTTCTAAAACTACATTTACACATATTGGCATTTGGACACCCTCCCTTAAGTTATTATATCAAGTTTGTTGAGATTGAGCTTTGAAATCAATATTAGAACTTAATCTGTTTAGTATCTGTTGTTATTTTAATCTTCTTACTTTTACCTTTGGACTTAGTTCTTTAATTTGAACTAAACTCTCTCGTTAATAAGAGTATATGGTATTGATGCTGTTAGTGTACAACATATCATTGAAATCAAACTATGAATGTTTCTGTCTATTTTTTTAAAGATACCCAAAGCGTAAACTTAATTCAAGGCACAAGACTTTTACAATAATGTATTCATTTATCTATGAATATGGTTACCATTTTTATTTGTGAGAATTTAAATATTTCCCCCTCTTATTTTTGCACTTTGAATCTCAAATAACTTTGACCCGCTTTTTAACATATCGCAGATCTTTTTGGGATATTGTATTTGAGCTTGTAAGGAATACTGTGCATTGGTAGGTCAATTGTACATATTGCCTGCAATTTTGTCACCCCCTATACCTATAGCAGCAGCTCTATTCTTCCTTTAAGCATGTACTTTTCATTTACCCTTTAAAAAGCTAGAGAAAAAAGCTAATTGGAACGTTATATGGTCAGAGAATAAGGGTGCTACAATTTTCACTGAAAAGGCAGTTTATATTACATCCATACTTGATTAAATATGATTAAATACCATGACAGCTATTCATTTAAGACTATGAAGATCTTATGAGGATCAAAACGGTAAAATCATTTGGAAGTTTTACCTTCCACCTTTTGACAGTATCATTGGGTACTTCCATTGGATACTTATCATATCATAATATGCATGATGTAGTCCTACCACTAGATGTACTACTACAAGTAAATGTATAGGTATAGTTCATTTATGCCACTGAGTTAACTGTATCAATTTCATATTATTAGAACGCTTTTGTCTAATTAATATTGATTAGTTAGTGTCTTGTACCATGATACAGAACACCCGATCAAATCCATAGACAAGTTGGCCTCATGAGAATAAAAGCAGTAATTTGCAATTAGCAAAGGTGTATATCTAATGCTATATTAATAACTGATGTATTTTATATTCCATATTAAGCTGAATCAAGGCTTGTTGTATTTGTAATCAGAAAATGCGAAAGGAGTTAATATAGTCCTAGGAATGCAATTATATGAGAAGTCTGTTGATACAAAAAATCCCATATGTTTGAAGCTCCTTGCCTGTTCCTTTTTCACCTCTATTAAGCACGAATATTTTATTATTTGGACAAGGGAGGGACAGATTTGGTGTTAAATTTTCAACAGCATGCATTCTCATGGGAAGATACGAAAACCTTGTGAATCAAGATGGAGACTACTGGCGGCCTGCCACTGGTAACAATGGTTGCAGGGCGTCACTGTGAATATCTCCATGGTATCCCAAATGAAACTTGTTATTCACAAGAGATATTACTTCACAATCTAATGTCATACCTAGAGTAATACATATCCTTAACTCTGAATATTAACTAATTCCAAAGGAAATGAGAAGTCAAGCTTTTATATGGGCCATGGTCAACTGGCAGTAAATATGCCCTTCTTAGCCCTGTTGTTTGAAGATTGTGCGTGATAGATTGTGAAAATCTGCCTTGTATTTTGAAGCTTCTCGCTTTTGCCACCTTTGCTTAAAACCTATTAGGGCTTGACCATCAGAAAATGTTGCATGTTGGATTATTAGTGCCATTTGGTGCCACTTGAGGCTCATGAGGTTATTTGATGATTTCATTGATACATTCCTTCACATATACGGTTTAACATATGCTACATTCATGCATCAGTCATATATCATATCATCTATTCATGTTTTTGATTATGTTTAATATGTTGTTGGGAAGAATTACAATAGGCAAAACAATGATTGGCTTTGGGTTAATTACAATATCTCTGTTATAATAAGTTACTTTTATCTTATCCAATGTATAAGTATGCCTTTTTCTGAAGTGTTTTAAGACCACATTTTTGTGCATTTAGCCCATGGTTTAATACATAGCAAGTACATGTACAACATTATAAACTAGCTTTTTAAGTATGTCAGTGAACTAATTGAGGCTATGAGATATGTAAAGGTATAGTCCATTCATAGTTGTAATGCAATGCTAGGGAGGTTTTTTATCATTTTTTAAAGAGGCAAAAGACACTGTTAACTTTTTATTGTACTTCATACTAGGCTTTCCTAAAATGACAAAAGTATCTTCCCTGAAATGGCAAAATTGACTAAGATATCAAAGTATGCCATCTGCCTTGCATCTCCTTGTTTCTGACACGGATACAGGCCCGTAGCCAGAATTTTCCAAGGGGGGGTTCGTTTTTCTAAAAAAATCTAGGGGGGGGTTCACTTTGGCAAATATGGCCAAAAATCACTCAAAAATTAGTCAGAATGGTGAAAAACTGCATGATTTTGAAAGAAATTTGGGCCAGGGGGGGGGTTCGCCCGAACCACCCGAACCCCCCCTGGCTACGGGCCTGGATACATCACAATTCTTTTGCAGACATGGTTCTAGTTAGGGTTGAAGGAGAGGTTAATAATTCTCTATAAGCATATCTATTACATCTAAGAGGGCATTGTTGGCAAAACTAAAAGCAATTGTGATATATAGCAAAGTTCAAGATATACTTCTAGAATTGTGATTGTCTAAAAGTATATGTAGATAAATGATTTAAACCTTTGAGAAATATGTCATGTTTTGAATAAAGATAAAGTAAAAAACAGTGGAATTAGCAAAAAAGTGAATGATTTATGCATGTAACCAACATTCTAAATTATATTAATTTACAAAATAACCAGGAATTAATTCAAATTTTACAGAACGAATATGAAAATAAGCATTACCTGCGTGATCTTTTTTTCATGGATCAAGTGTCATTTGTTGGCATCCTATAAGTCATTTCATTGATAACTTTATCTTAGGAGGACACTTATTTGTCAAACATTTCATTTTGGTTTTTCAATCTTTTGTACATAGATTGAAAAACATATTTGTTTGTTTATGTTTGTCTAGACATATTAGAAAGTTAATTCTGTAAGTCTGTGGTTATAGCTATTATCCCCACTTTTATTATTAAGCCACACCTTAAAGAGGCTATTATTCAATATAGCAATAGATGGTCAATGGATAAGAAAATATCTAGAGTTAATTAGAAAGCATATTGCACGCTTCATACTCCCATCAGTTTCCATTTCTGCAGAGCTCAGGCAGAAATTGTACACACAGGCCCATAGCCAGCTTTTGCCAAGGAGAGGTCACTTCCCCTCCTTCCCCCGAAACCCTTCTGCCTGGCTACGGGCCTGGGATGTATCTAAGGCCTCTACATGTCAGTATAATTCTAGAATACACCTCATCAAGTCACCCAATGCTTGCTTCTTTGAGCGGGGGCGGATCTGGAAACCAACAAGGGGGGGGGGCCCAAATTTCAGGTCAGAGGAAAAAAATGTTGGGCCCTTAAAACCCAAAAGTGGGCCCAAATTTTGAAATTTTGAGGCCCATTTTCTTCAAAATGTGGCCTGAAATTAAAAAATAAGGCCTTAAAAGGCTTTTTTGGCTCAAAATTATTTTTGGGTCCCCCCCCCTAATCCGCCAGTGTTGAGGTTCCATCTTTGAGCCCCGTCAAATCCCACTTGGGTCCAATTTTTTTTTCTGGGCCCACCCAAGGGGGGGGCAGGCCCCCCCCCCTAATCCGCCAGTGTTGAGGTTCCATCTTTGAGCCCCATCAAATCCCACTCTGCCCCATTGAGTCTCATACAACATGAAATCAAAACAGGTCCCATATAAGAAAAATTTTATAAACCAATATTATGGGACTTTATAGGGCTTTGTCACATAAAATCTGATAGAGCCCAGAAATTCCCATGGAACATTTGAAGAACATTAAGAAACAAAACCTATAATTTACTATACCACATAGTGAAAAATACACCTCCAGTCACTCCCGATATACAATCATGAAAAAATTGTTCTCAAAAGTACATAACCCATCAATAATCATTCCCCGTAGACTACTGCATTTGCCTACATGTATTCCTGAAAACCTTTCTAAAATTTGAGGGAACATTATTCCCTTTCAGGGCAGTTTACACTACTAATCACTATTTGATACCCTACATACATCATTCTAAAATTCCTGCAATTATAAACCTTCTAATTTATGGAAGTGGAAGTCAATGAAGTCCATGTCATTGCCACATATTTGGAAATAGGTATTCAAGTATAGAACAAACCAGCAAATTTTGCTACGAAGATCAGGGGTTTCACTAAAAATTTTCACAACAGGCTAAATAGGTGGAAATCATAAATTAACATGGAAAAGTCCCTAAAAACAACAGGCGATTTTGTGAAAACAACTGGTGAAAATCGCCTGTTGCCTGCTTCTAATGAAATCCCTGATTCACCAAAGTTCAATTGAAAGGACTGTATAATAGGGAGCCGAGTGCTCATTTAGAAATTCTTTCATGAATATGTGGGTTAAGAGATCAGGCCTGCTCTCAGTATTTATCTATGTACCTTGTAACAAGCCACTAGATACATATACGTCAGTTGAAATACCCTGATAAGTTAACATTTGTATATAAAGGAGGTACTGTACCACTGTATGCATGTAGCTAGCAAAATATGGCATGATCTAACAGTAACTTAACAATATGATTAACAGATGTAAAATGCATCAAATAAGTCTGTCATTCAGACTGTTTGGATAGATTAGGTCAAGATGTTCTAGGTATATAGTTTTTTCAAGGTTGCAATTTTCTCATTTGAACGACAGTTATTAGAGATTTCAAGCTTTGAGTCGTAAAATGGGCCTGTATTGCATTTTCTATATTCAAATGACACACGATGTATATAATAGTGTGAATGATTTGGTTTTGATACAAAATATAAAATAATTCAAAAAAGAAAGCTGCAAGGGATCTTTATGAACGTAAACTCTTTTGTACTTTATTGCCAGTAAAGACATGTATACTCCCATGATTTATAGCCAACACCTTATCATGCCACTTGGATGTACCATTTAAGAGGGATGTTCGGATGGGAATAAATAGGAAGCAGACTAATAGTACATCTAAAATACAGTACAATACATTTAGAAATGCCAGAAATCTGGTATTTCATTCAGATTTTAGAGAGAACAGGTGTAGAAAAGGGCATGATGAGAGAAAATATTTTATTTAGAATTAGTGATTCACTCCCTCATGATATGATGGCCTGATAGCATGATCTTCCAAATACAGCTCTGTTGTATGTACATAACAACTTCATATGTCACTTTGATCTCAATTTACATTTGTTTTATGTCTCTGATTTTTGGTTCACATGGTGAGCTGATAGATTACCCAATTAATATAGAATTGGCCAAATTATCATAAAATTGCCCAATTGTCATAGAATTGCCCAATTGTCCATCAGTCTGTTCTGCTGATTAAATGTCTACATTATTTAATGTTGTATGCTTAGGGGGAGAGGAAGGGGTGAACTCAAAATATCAAGAAACAATAATTGTCTTTCTATTTTCAGGCTTTGAGTAAGCGAACGGATAAAGGTATCAGAACTATAGAAAGATGGTTCCGTTACAGGAGGTTACAGGGGAAGTATACACCTATGAAACGCTTCCAGGAAACTTGGTGAGTATTCATATTAGTGAGTATTTATGCAAATGAGTATTTATGTGTATGAGCATTTATATATTACATGATTGTGAGGGCTCCTTCGGGGTTAGGGTATCCTGGGTTATGATCCAGATTACATACGGGGAATTACGGCCATAGAATATGAGCTATACAATCATATGCCACCTTTGTCCTTCATTGTTGATAAACAAATGAATTCAACATTTTTTCCCCATCCTAAATAATAATTGTTTTTATATGCAGTAACACACTGACAGTTACTCAACTTCACATTGAATGCAAGGATCATAAACGAGCAATAATTGTGTTTAGGCACTATATTATTATAATTGAAATATAGGCACTATAATATTATAATTGAAATATAGGCACTATAATATTATAATTGAAATATAGGCACTATAATATTATAATTGAAATATTAGTGAGGTTAGTTACATGTTTTTAATAGAAACGGTTGGTGAGCGTGTAATATTTCTACTGCCTGGGACAATGTGCCACTCCCAATTCTGACTTTTCCAGGGACCTAACTACAATTATTTTCCATATATCTCTATATTCAAGAGGATTGTAATAACCACCAAGGACCATAATTCTACACGGTCAGGAACATCAAGTTTTTAAAATAACTCCCTATTGTCTGCATCATCTGCCTCTTGCCTTGCTACGTCTAATCACGTTTATAATCTCTTGACTTACAGATCTAATTTATGTTTGATTAATCAATAGTCCTCTTGAGAATAAATCACATATTGTCAAAGCGTGCAGGTAATTTCTTTTGAGTGGAGAAGGTAAAATCTATTTTCATTTTGGCCTAGATATTGATTTTAGCTCACTGATTCAAATTAACATCAATATCACAAGAGAATATGTATTAATGAAGAAATGAGATTCAGATTAAGATACTTGTATATGTTGATATTGATATGTTCAGGGTGTAGGGTGTAACAATAATGTGCTTTCTTATTTCATGTTACAGGGTGTCTCAGTTTTGTATGTTTTTTTTGCAGTTGGAGATTCCTGTTCTACTTTACCGCATTTTACTATGGCATCTATATATTATGGGATGTAAGTATTATACAGTACATGTATTTATAAGTATCAAAACTTAAAAACAGCTTTCCAAAAATTGTGACTTATTTTGTATGTTTTTGTTTCATAACATTGTCAAAAATTACTTTCTGAAGAAATAAACATTTTACGAGATAAATGTAGATACTCATGTTTTTTTAGCTGACATGGGTGAGCTTTTGTTATCACCAACTTCTCTTGCTGTATGTACACCCCTCCATCCATCTTGTCTGTCAACACATCATAGTTAGCTAATTTAAAATCCTCCAAGGCAATCAAAATAGTTTCACTTTTAAAATGTTTCTGTATAAAGTTGTCAATTGTTCCATAAGTGGTGTCTATAAAGTTTGCCTTGTTTCAAAAATGTGCAGAAAAATTAGGTTTTCAGCTCTTTAGGTGTTCCACCAATTTGTTTGAAATTGTACAGGTACTTTAATTTATAGGTTATCAATATTATAACTTTACTTTCAGAAACCTTGGCTGTGGGATACCAAAGAGTGCTGGTACGGCCATCCATTTCAGGTACGCCAACTTACCTTTTTACAATGAGAGCATACATGTATAAAGAAAAAACTACAATCTATTCAGTTTGTCATGTTTTCATTTCATGGCATTATCCCTGTAGAATTTAATCTGTATTTGTTTATTTTATTTATGTTTTTATTTGTATTACTTCTTTACATCGAATCTTCTCAATGTCAAATTGACTTTTATTAATCTGCTTCTTGTCTTGTGTCTTGTTATGTCACTACCACAAGTGGTGACATATTGTAATAGCCTCCAACTTATTTTGGATGGTGTTTGGCGGTTGGTGTTTGGCAGTTGGCATCTATAACAAATTGCAAGTGGTGACATTTTGCATGTTAATGCCTTGTTTTTAATGCTTCGTGTGTCTCTTTCATCTCATATTAGTCTTGACCATTTTGCTCCACCTGTACCTGTGGACTGCAATTTTTCATTGTTTTGGACAAGTTGTCATCAGTAGACCAGAGGGTGAGATGTATCAAGATATTGCAAGATATCTCAAAATATGGCGCGATATCCCAAGATATCTCATCTTCAGTCTGCTAAAAATTGGTCTCATATTAACTTCTCACAGGCAGTAGTAATTGGTTTTGATACCGAGAGAACACAAAGGGCAACATTTGAAAAACACTCAAACCCCTATAAATCATGTTAGAATGAACATGAAATTTCTTAAAAGGAAATTACTTAATTGTGAATTGAATCTCCAATTTATATCATTTTTATTATGATACAATATTAATACTTTTACTAACCAACATTAGTCTCGCTTCAATCAATTGTGACTCCTCTCCCCTCACTACCCACCTATCTGCAAGTTTTGTGATAGTTTGGTGAAGTTGATTAGATTGGGAGGGGAGCCCACAGTTTTAAAGCAAAACAAAACCAACATGTTAGTTCTTTCTATTTGCTAATGTTGATTATATTAATTGCTATATGTTTACAGCCAACTCATAGGATCCAGGAACTCATGAAACTAGGAAATTATAAAACACAGGTCGACTACTGGACTTTTTGTTGATTTCTAAATGATCACACCTTATCAATATCTTGCATACGATATAACACCTTTATTATCCCACTGAACAAAGTTTGTGTTGGGATAAAGAGAATTCAGCAATCTTTTCAGACTTCTTGCTTCAAGATCCTGGACCCCCATCTACTTTACACCAGGTGTTGTGTTGGAGAAGTAGAAAGGGGGGTCCATAGTCTTGAAGCAAGACTAAGGTTCAGAACAAAATCAATGGAAATAGGGAATTGGGGATATCACAATTTGAAACTACCTCAAGCTCTTTCTTAACCACTATGTAATAACTATTTTAAATATAATGCTGATTTTGACTTGAATAAGAAATATAGAAAAGTAGATCGGAATGTAAAAGTCAGTATACTGAGAGCTTCCAATTCATTAGAAAGGAATGCTCTTTGAAAATATATTTTGTTCCCTGGGATTTGCTTCTCCGTGGAGTTGACATTCTTCTAGTGGCTGTATTGATGTGTTTTTTATGCGTTGTTGTTTCATCTTCTTTATCTTTAACACTGATAAAGTAGTAATGTATTGTGTTTCTGTTAATGAATCGTGATATGACATAAATCTGTGCTTTTTATCACGTGTCAACAATTTAACTTTTAATTTAGCTGAGCAAATCATTTGATTTTTTATATAATGATTTCAGGTATTTTGACTTAAATTCAACAAATGCAATTTCAAATATAAAAATATCATTGACTGTAGTTTTGAAAAGGAATATTTGGTCCACATTATCACTTGATTCATTTGGTCATTTTTGATGTCACCATTTTGATACATGTCAGTTTATTACATTGATGTCAGTTTAGAATAGATGTGTTCTCTTTAAATCAGTTTCACTATAGACTTGATGTCAACATAGAATTTGATGTCACTATAGATTCAATACTAGCTCACAATCTTAAGATCTCTATGAAGGATCACAGCTTGTGAAGACTTACTTAAACTAATAACGAACCCCTGGTACTATTTTTGTAAGATCTCTGATAAGTTTTGCTTACTTAATGAAATAACAAGAGTGTTTAAAAATCTTTAAGTAGTAGAGTTTGTAGTAAGTAACGAAAAGGAGCCATCTTTATTAGATCACCTTGTATATTTTTATTTTTATTACTATTATAATTGTCCTGGAGTTGCTTGTTGTGGAAATCATGCCTTTAGTATTCACAGGATTGCTGACATAGATGTCAGGTTAAAATTATTTTGAAGAGAAAGAATGTCCCATTAAATAAGCTAGAGGTGGCACAGAGTGAGCTTTGGGTAAATGTATCAACATTTTAGCTTGCTTATACCTGGACTTATAGTCCTAATTGTTTAGGTAAATCTGTCAAATTTGTTGATGCCTATATATTAATTCAACTGATAAAGGCCCCATAGAAAGTATAATAAAATTGGGTAAGACTATAGTATTAGCTAATGTGGTTTAAACTTTATATGGGGCCTTTAAGTGTTTTACAAGTGTGTAGTAGTTACCTAAAAGTGAGCATGTACATGTCTCTGAAGATGTGTGCATGATCATTACAGACAGGTTCTGTCTATAGGAGTTATTATATATTTCTTTACAGAGATATATATTTCTCTATATTCAGTATGTAGATGTGTATATCTCTCTGTGCAGAGCTGTATATTTCCCAGACACAGCTGTACATTTTCTCTGTAAAGAGCTGTGTATTATATCTACTGCACTCTGCAGAAAAGAAAACGAGAACGAGTGATCATTCTCTTTGTTGTATGTATCTTTGGTAACACCATAATGATACTCACTGTGAATACATGTACATGTATGTAGTGATCAGAATCCTAAAGTAACATGTATACATGTCCATGTTACGTGTTATAAATAGATTTAATTATTATCCGTGACCCTTGCTTAACCATATCCGCTTCTTGTAGAGATACCCATCAAATTTCAGCTATGGATTTTTTAGAAAAACATACGGCTTGATGTAGGTATATTGTACAAGTCTCTTTGTGAAAAGTAATTTTGAAGGGGTTAGGGCATGTTCTTTGAAGTAAAAATATTGAAATTCCTTGTCATGGTTTAAGTAGTGATATTTGATGGGTTTTCTCCTACATGTTGCTTTGACTATGAAAATCAGGTAAAAAGTATGTACATTTTCAAGGTAAGAAGTAAAGCTATACCTCATAGTATAAATGGTCCTTACTCTTTCTCTTCAGGCTAGAAATAATATTTTAGAAATTTTCAAAGTCATCTAAACATCTCCATGGCAATTATAGTATGGAAGTATATCTTTGAAAAAAGCTACATATGATATAGTGATTTGAGTTTAGGAGCAAGTAGGTTTTCATTCAATGAATTTGACAATTCTTTCACACTCATTTCAAATTTTGCATCCAGTTAAGAAATAACCCCTTGAGAAACACTCACTCATATTTACAAACATTTTATTTCTATGAGAGACAATTTTTTATTGTTATTTTGATTATTTTGAATTCTGCTCTCATTTGAGGAGAAACTGCCAATCTCTGATGTCATACAGGGTGTTCAGTGCAACATGCAGCTCATTTTACTAACTCATTCCTATGAAAGTGTTCCTGATCTAGAAATATTAACTGTTCAGGTTTCCACATTATTGGCTTGGTTTTACTATGTTCTCATTCATTTTATTCTCGTTTCCAGCATATAACCAGTGATGTATATTGGTATTACATGGTGGAGATGGGATTCTACTGGGCACTTGTGTTTTCGCTCATGACAGATATCAAGAGAAAGGTGAGGTTTCAAATCGTGGTAAGCCACATCTTTTCTATCTCTGTCCATCTGCAATGCAACAGAGCTCAACATAGAAGGATGTTATTTGTGTCAGAATGGAGATTTCATGCATTTTGGTAAAGCATGCTCCAGGGATCATGTCAGTGTTATTATCTCAATGTTATTGTTTAAAGTTGCTGTACAAGTTTATATACTTTAAGGAAATGTTGATTTATATTAATTGATCTCTGCAACATTGAAGTAACCAGTTGCTGCACTCAATTGAAAGAGTGGTATCAATATGGAGAACTTTTTGAACATGTGTTTCTCTTAAACCAGTCATGAAAAAAATCTAAAAACTTAAACATCGTTAATTTAGTGGTCATCTTTTGAATGGTAACAATATGATTGGAAAAATATATATATACTTTCATCTATATTCAATACATCAAACACTTGTTTTGTTCTTGGTATCATGTTTCCAGAGTGAAATGAAACATCTTTCCGAACCTCATTGGAACAAAATGACATAACAAAACATGTTTAGGTCTCTCAATATTGTAATTGTACAAAGGAAATTTGGGTTGATTTTAAAAAAGTATCTTGTCTTGAAATAAAAGGTTTATCTTGATTTTTATCTGTTTTGGGGGATTTTGAATACTTTTTTTAAAATCAACCAAGAATTCTTTTGTATAACTATAAATATTGAGAGGTCTAAAAACATGTTATATATGTTATTTTGTTCCAATAAGGTTCGGAAAGACATTTTATTTCATTCTCAAGAATTGGCAGAAAGGAGCAAAAACAATTGCACGAAAGAAACAAAAAATGTTAACAAAAACTGTAATATAAAATATTTCTAAATAACTTTCGCATTAAATTGTTGTCAGTCAGTCAACATTACATAAAATACGGTGTTTTTTTACAGAATGTTTTCAATGATTGGTTTAAGAGAAAAACATTGTTGAATTCAGTTCTCCATATCGATACCAATCCTTTGTAAAATGTTTTCGATGTTTTTATAGCTTTAGTGAGCTTAATTATTTTTATAAGATCGATATTGCACTGTCCAAATTATCAAAAATAGGAGGTAGGATCTGATTGCCATGTTTATGTATTACACATACAAACCCATTCTGTCTTTCTCAATTCAAATGCACATGTGGTTTTTGACATAAAAACATGTGGTGTTTCACCAAATCAATACTTACATGTGGTGTTTCATTGCAGGATTTCTGGGAGATGGTTATCCACCATGTTGTAACCATAGGTCTGATGGTGTTCTCTTGGGCAGGAAATATGGTTCGTGTAGGAACCCTTGTACTGTGTTGCCATGACGCTGTTGATTATTTTATGGAGGTATTGACATTTTTGTTATAACTTCATATTGGATGGAAAAACCATTTTGTGGAACAGACAATATTGAGGGCGCTTGAAAACCTCAAACTTTCAAAATGTTCCAGTTTTTAGTCAAAATTTACCAGGCAGATTGTTGATTGCTATTTATTTATGTTTTGTTATTGGAACAGCTTTATAAAATTTATGTCCTGTCTTGATATTTTGATAGCTATAATGATTTAAATCAGGTTGGGATGATTTTGAGACAACTTGTAGTCAAGTCTAAGCATACTGAAACATATGTTAGCTCCTCTGATAGTATAATTGGCCTCTGTCTTTTGTTTTATTATTTCATCTCTCAAAACTTTTTAAATTTTATTTTCAGCTTGCCAAGGTTTTCAACTATCTTAAATACCAGAAGACTTGTGATGCATTGTTCGTTGTTTTCACTGTCATGTGGTTTATTACACGTCTCTGTATATTCCCATTTAAGTAAGTATAAACTTATTTCATACAAAAAAACTATTTGCCTTTATCTAGTTTAAATAATTCTTATTAAATATAGAATTTCTCAGTTGATAATATTTTGAAAAAAATTTAAGAGGTTAATTTTGTTCATGCTTAAATGCACGCGAGCATATTTGCATGGAAATGTATCTAATTTCATATTGGATTATTCGATTATATGTAGTATTATTAAATAATAAAATTTGTTACTATTAAGATTACTTTAAAAAGATCTCAAGTAATTTAGTAATTTTGTTGTTACTTTATGAAATTCTGTTTTCATTAAACACATGCAGCAAACCCATGCATACAACACCATTGTGGTTTCGGAAATTAGTAAATCGAAATAAAAATTTGTTGAATTTTGGACCTGTGTCATTTTTATTATCTTTTTCAAAACCAATATCATGCCATAAGACATTGTTATTTTGACCATTGGTTATGTAGCATGGGTTTACCCATACATTTTACTGAATATTTCATACCTGGATAAAACAGATTAGATTCAGAGGAATTAGTTCTGCTAAAATGTCAGTAAACACCTGTCTTTTAGTCATTTTGTAATCTAATTGTTGTTATCTAGAGCAGTTTTCCACCTGTTCGCTATTTTGTTATATATCTTATTACAAATTGTTACTCTTCAAGTTTGTTGTATTAAATATATTGCAATGCACTGAATATTCATTTACAGGCTGAAATATGTAATGGTACTGCTTTACATTTTTAGAGGTTCTACTGTTATCCAGAGTATGAAGTATTTTGTTCGTGTATGAAGCTGTCAAGGAATTATATTATATGATTATTGTGTATATATTAAGGGAATGTGGTGTGGAATTTTGGCAGCGTCTGTTTTTCCTATTAGTGTATAGAGCATATCAAACAAGCCATATTTGGTCAAATATGACAAATTCTTTCGGGACTGAATGAACAAGGAGGAGGGCTTATATTTGTAATTTACCCTCAGTTCCCAACCAGGTCATTTAATGTACATAGATTTAAAGTTGCTGTGTTGAAATGGGACTGAATTTAATACATGTATTATGTTCTGTATATTTTCTGTTGAATTTTCATTTATGCCACAAGTTTACTGTCATTGTATGATTATTATGTTACTATGTACATTACTTGATCTGCAGTTAGTATTTCCTATCTTCCCCTTCACAAATAAATTTCACAATTTCTGTAGGTCTCTCGAACCAAATGATAAGGATACAGGCTCACTGAAAGCTTGGTCCTAATTGAAGGCTTAGTTTTGACACACATTTTTAAACATATCAATATATGAAATGGATTCAGTCTGGATAGAGGGTAGAGTACTCATACATGTTATGTTGGCTTAATTCATGATAGGTACATGCTACAACAATCTACCTTGTGATATTTATTTTTAAAATCTGAACAAATATAATTTGGGGAATTTGTTTTCAAATTCGAGCATTTGTTAATATATTACTGTGGCATTTCAACTTGATTAGAGCCAAACACAAAAAATATATTTCAAAAAACATTTATGCAGATGAGCCTGTATCTTTAAATGGCTAGTTTTATATGTTTTCGTAGTAACATTGTATTGCTTAGGTTTGCACCTTAGATGTAGTTTTGTATTTTCTTGTATAAAATTCATTTTCACTAGCCTTGCTTTTCTTATTATTAACATACATAAGCCTCTTTTAATTGACATATTTCTTGATCATGGTTTTTATACTTGTAAAATTGGTAAATTGGCGAGATAAATAGTTTTCCTCCGACCCAATCAGATCATTAGAATATAGTATAACTACTCAGAATTATGTGTGATCGATCCTGGATTTTTATAAACCTGCATGACCAAATTAGATTACTACAGTGGTACTTAGGATCTGGATCTACTCACTGAAATACACCGTAGTTTAGTCGTTAAAAACCTTTGGGTGAATGGAAAAATTTGAGATTTTAATATATGTCTTGCAGACTGCCATGTTCGTCACATGTTATCTCATGTTTTTCCTCATGATTTTCTGGAAAGTGTCTGAAACATTGCCATCGATCGCACAGTCTAAGATGTGAGCCCATACATGCATTTTCATGGCTTTTCATGCATTTTCGTGGCATTTCACGAGAAAAACATGATATGCATGAACTTATTGATGGGTAAATGCCATATTTTTCAGAATTTTACATAGTACAATGTTTGAGGGCCATGTCATAGTGGATATGATACCAGCCTACTATGTATTCAATGCCCTATTGGTTACATTGCAAATACTTCACATAATCTGGTTCTATATGATATGCCGAATGGTTTACTTGTATGTAGTCACGGGCAAGGTGAGCCTCATTGTGATTCGTCAAGCATGATTCCAGCCAATGGGGAACTTCCAGATTTATCTGATTTCTTACATACTCCTCTCTTTATTCATACATTTAATAACATTTAAAAACGGAATTTCATGTTCTATCTGCAGTTGATATAATGTGCAGAACAAGGGTGCCATCTCATGTTTACACACAAAAGCACAATTGTTTTGTGGATGAGTGATGGGGAAAAAGGTCCCATTTTGCTAACTCAATATTTTTTATCAAAAAAATAAAAGTCTGTCATTAACGAAGGTGGGTGGATGGTCTCACTGATAAAATGAACTGCCTTTAGATTAATGCAGAACTGAGACAAGGAACCCTAATATTCACATTTCATTCTCCTATTGTCCTATAAAATCTGTAACATTTAGTCAACTACAGATTAGAAAATGATATTCGTGTTTTCTATCAATTTTTTAAACAGAATTTCTACTCTTTCTCAAAAAAAACATTCTCTACTTTGACTAATCTTTTTTAATCATAGTCGTGATATTTTTTTCATTGTTGACATATTTTTGATATTGTAACTGTAAGTTCCTCTAGAGAGCTACTAGGTTTCTCTACATTACAATACATGTCCCCTTGTGTGTGTTGTTTTGTTAACAACTTTGCTTTCTTATATTCAGTCTTTTTTTAGTGCACCCATCCTGCTTTCTTCATCTCGTAGCTACATTACACATAGGCATGAACTGTGAATTTCAAAATTTTCTAGTTAGGGGTCAGTTTTCAGTTCCAAGTCTGGTGAAGTTAAATTTTTTTTGGATCATTGCTCCAGTATTTTTAAGAGCGAGCTTGTATCCTGAAAACTAGACTCTTTAACTCTATTGCATTTCGCTATTTAACAATTGATGTCTTGATCAAATTGACATCAAGATTCAAGATTAAACCCCTTAAAACCATAACAATTGACCCCTGAACTAACATGGTTCGCTCGGTAGCTTAAATCACTAACACATTACCATTTTAGACACTTATAATCACCTTGTATTTCACCAAATCATCAAAAAGTGACCACCCTGTAATCTGTCAAAGTATTTTATCATCTCTTTGTACTTAATCAAAAGATCATTCCTTTACTTTGACCACATCTTCATTCAATTAAAATATTGTATTGAAAGAATCAGCAATGATTAATCAACCGAATTAATCAAATGAATCAGCTTCAAATCAAATTAATCAAACTTAAAACAAAAACTTTAAAACAAAACTTGAACCCTCCTAATAACCATTCAGCATTTTAACAAAATAAAAAAACAATCACCCAAAGATCATTTGAAAATCATCCTGTAATTCTGAATAGCTTCAAAGGGTAACATGGAAGCGGGTCTTTTTGATCCATTGATAACTATGGCTATAGCCATATTGCAACTGACACGCTTTTGATTAACAAAGTAATTGATCTATGCATCTGTAGACTTTTCTAGATGTTTCTTAAAAGGGAGGTTCTGGATATCAGATTGATATGACTTGAAGGAGATAAATTATATCTACTCTATATCTTGTTATCTTAAGTCTAGTAAGCTTGTGAGAATGAGAATACTTACTAAGCTTTTGGGATTGAGTAAACAAAAGGTTTTGGATTGAGTATACATAAGTTATTGGGATCGAATATAATGAATTAATGGATTCAAGTTTATCTTTAGATCATATCACAAGTTATCACATCTCATCATCTTAATCTGGTACACATGTATATCTAATATACAACAATATGTAAATCATCTGTCGCACTTATTATTAATCAACTAGAAAATAAAGAAATTTATGTGTCTTATATAATCCTTCTTGAATTAGTTTCATTTTCACGCTCAATTAATAGTTTTTATCCCTTTTAAACACTGTCTAAAAAGTGAATTTAATACGCCTTTCTTAGTAAAAAAGAGTAAAAGTAATTTGCAAAAACATATTTCAAGAATGTGTTTGTTATATTCTGGAGGATGCAGGGGTAGGTGGTGGAAATGGGACAATTAAGGGGCAGCATGATGAAATGAATGCTTACCTTTGCGTATATGTAACTACATATTTGGGCTACATAAGCGTTAATGCTGAGCTTAAGAAGTAATGGCATATGTCATATTAAATTATATTTGCTGCAACTTTAAGCTATGGCATAATTAATGTTTAAATAATTAAGCTATGTATATTAGTATCCATGGCATGCGCTCCTTAGCATTGCAGATGTACTGCTTATTTCATTGTTACATGTGAATCGCACCCTGAAAATGGACATCTATTGGGAAAGTATAAAGGTCTCACTTAATCATCATAAGGCCTGCACAAATTATTGTGATTTATATAAAACAATTATTAATAATAATTGTTATTAATAATATTAATAATTTATTGACATATTCCTTTCATATTGTAGCGATGCATCATTAATATACAAAAAAATTAAAAGGAATGATGTTTGAGTTGAAAATTGCTGATTTTTATGTATTTAAGTTGTGCTAGCCATATTTGATTGACTAGATGCCGTTGAACATAGAATTCATTTGTGCATGCCTTAATTCAGAGCAAAATCATGTTAGCAGTTAGAGAGCATATATGATGTTTATACATTATAAGTTGAACAATGGTTAAGATTTAGAAAACAATTTAACCAGAGATATGTCAGTATTCTCCCCAGTCCTGAACAAGTGCTTGACACCCACTTGAAATTGTGAAGACATATTTACACCCACTCGAACATGAGAAAATTCATGAAAAAGTATTTTGAAAAAGTTGGGCTGGACTATGGAAATGAGAATTTCACAACCATTTTTAATCTTGTGGAGAATACTGCATGAGAAAAAACATGAGAGAAAACATGGGGTCTGCAAAGAAAACTCAAATTAAAAGTTTAAGTGATAAATATTTAAGGCAACAACAGATGTACAGTGATGCTACTCTGTACAGGTATAATATTAATTCCAATTTACCAATTTGAGAGTATATGTTATTTAGCTTCTGTGATAAAATCATGTCTTTCATTGTCTAGCATAACCCATCACTACCGAAAAAATAAAAATTGAACAAGCATGCAATTTAGAGACGAAGGTGGTTGTATTGCTAGGTACTTAAGGGGCCATATAGAAATCCATTGAAGTCCTTCATGCACTTTTTGCAAGCATCTTGGATTATTGCATGTGTGTACTTACTTACAATAAAATAACAATGAACTAGATTTATACATGCCTTACATAGTTTTGTGTATAGTATTCTACATTTAGCCAAATTTTTGCTTATATTAGGCTAAGGTGAGGTTATTGTCTGGTTCTGATTCCTGGGCACATTTTCTTAAGGCCTTGAGCGATTATGAATAGAAATGTTTTTTGCCTATATAAATCTCATGAACTCTTCATTTTGAAAATACACTAAGAATGTTGAATCTATATGGAGACATTGATTTCATATGTTCTGAGACATTCTCTATTCTTTTTTATATATCTGCATTACAGGGAAAGATATCTCATGAAACATAAATTGATATTGATAAATTGACTGTTTGCATCTGTTTTATAGCTTTTATGATTGAACCTCGAGCTTTCAGATAATCTCTTTTTTGAAGAAGAAAGCCACATCTCTTGATTGATTTTTTAAAAAGACAAGAATCTGAACCAGTGACCCAAGCTTTCTGTTGTATGCTCTCTAGTATTTTAGTTTAATATTACTAATTCTTGCTATATTTCCTTAATGTGATGCCGATTTCCTTAATGTAGTGCTATATTTCCTTAATGTGATACCATATTTCCTTAATGTAATGCCATATTTCCCTTATATTATGCCATATTTCCTTAATATGATGCCATATTTCCTTAATGCAATACCATATTTATATTTCAGTCTATGTATAGCCACAAGAAATTCATCTACACAGATGAAAATTCATGATTTCAATGGTTGCCAGTATATGGCTTTGGTAACAAACAATATTATGAAGTGATGAGTTGATTTCCTGTTTCTAGTTAAATTGTACCTTTGACCTCATATCTAAATATATCGTTAGCAATCTGTTTGCTAAAATTCTTATGGCTATATATTAGACTGTTTCATCATTGCTGTAGCTATTACCTACATTATGCATGGGTGTCGGAATGTGCAATTATAGCATGGTAATGTATACTGGGTGCTCATTGATTGAGGCATGCTGACACATCCCCTAAATTTTGAATTCCCCCTGGATATCAAAATCATCAAAAAACTAAATGGATACAGGAAATCCATGAAAAATCTACTTTTAACCAATGGATTATTTTCAAGCTTTGTTGAAATTTCATTATGTCCTGAATCAATGAGTTCCTTTTATGCGAGTGAGTACTACAGGGTGAGACTGTTACTCTGTTCCTGCAGGTTGATATATACAGTTGGCATTGAGAGTCCAATGATTATTGGAATGTACAACGCTATGTACCTTTACGTTTTCCTGTTGATGGCGCTGCAAGTTCTGCACGTCATATGGTTCTATATGATCTGCCGAATGGTCTACTTTTATGTCATTACTGGAAAGGTGAATGGATTTTTTTTTGATAACAATAGGGATGGAGTCAGTTGTCAATGGATGTTGGAAGACATAGTTAAATTTTGGGAGGGGTAAAATAATGATTCAAATGATGATTCTTTGAGAAGTTGAACTGCAAGGCAAATCAACATTTTTCAATGTCATATATAGAATGGGGGAAAAGAGAGTGTTGCCGTTAAACCATAATGAAATTAACTTCATTTTTCCATGACTGTTGACAATTGAACACCATCCTTAATGGCGGCTTGTAGGTCTATTGGATTAGCTTTTCCTTCTGGAATGGTTTGCATGTACACTTTGCTAAGATTTACCTTTCAAAGAAAATGCTGAGCTTTTTGATTGAATTTTTACATATTTTCTAGGCATTGAGTTTATTTAAATCATTGTTTTTCAAGAATGCATGCACTTAAACCCTAAATCTAATAGACAAACAGGAGCTCCACATGTGTGTGTTAATGTGCATATTTATAATTAAGTTGAAGTGTTTTGATTGACAAGCTTGCTTTTGAAAAATTAAATTCATAGAATATTTAATAGAATTATTTAAGTTTCCCCCTTATCCCTCCTTTCCCTTTTTTAGATACAATTAGTACAGTTAAATAATTTTATGCACTACTTGAATTCTATGAATTTGAAAAATATTGATATTGGGATCAGATAAACAGACATATGCAGATATACACATATTTTGAAATTGTATGATACAATGATTAATTGGGATTGTGTGATACAATTATTTTCATCGAGTGATGTTTTGTTCTTAAGTCAAACAACTAAGATTAATAACAAAAACATTTCTTTGAATATTTCCTCTCTAAAATGATTCAAATATGCAAATGAAACATTATTCAGAAACACAAATACCTTAATTCCCATGGTTTCCCTGTACCATTTAGTACTGTTTTGGTACTGTTTGGTACAGTACCAAAACCATAATTGTTTTAAAAAGATCAATTTTCTATTTGTGTAATTTTCAAGCTGATATGTTATTTCAAATATAAAAAACTCATAAATATGGCTACCTTATCTCAAATTGAACAACATTCTAAATATGAAAAATTGTAAAACTGCCCCTCAAACTTGACCCAAATGTCAAAAAAACTGTCTGTATACCTATTCCATTGATTAATTAATCAATTATAAATTACCCTTTCAATATTTGTTAAATATCAATGATGATCATTACCCATGTATCATCATAATCATCATTATCATCATCATGTGCAGAGAACAGAAAGGCTTGTATCAAAATGTCAATAAGATTTGTTCATGAATATATCCCCATGAGATAGAAGTTTTGGTTGTCATGTTTTAAAATATAAAATAGAGAATAAAAGAATGAAATTGAGTAGGGGCAGGCCCGTAGCCAGAATTTTCCAAGGGGGTTAACTTTTCCAAAAAATTCTAGGGGGGGTTCACTTTCGCAAATTTGGCCAAAAAAATCACTCAAGAAATAGTCAGAATGGTGAAAAACTGCATGATTTTGAAAGAAATTTTGACCAGAGGGGGTTCGTGCGAACCCCCGAGCCCCCTGGCTACGGGCCTGGTAGGGGTATAGAGAAGACATCTATTTTTATCCATACATCGATTCAGGTGCTAACTCAAATACCAGTTGCCAGGTTTGCTTCAAATTTTATGCGCTGATGCCTTATGCGTACAGAACTATGCCCAAGAAGGAATTTTAGAAATAGCTACTGAATTCAAAATGGCCACCATTTTCAGAACAAATGTAATTTCTGATAATGCAAATAACAGTTATGGTCTAAATTTTATAGCTTAATATACATGATGTCACATCATAACAAATGGCTATATTTTGCCAAAGGAAGACAATACTACTGCCTTTCATTGATTATAATGTTCAGAATGACAAATGATTTGGTAAAATATGTTCCGTTTGGTGGGTTTTTTATTAGTAACACATTTAAAATATAATACAGAATTTAAGCCCCTGATTATGAGGATAAAGCTTAACTTTTTAGATTTTAATTATAATATTGCCTGCCTTTTGAATCAACCAACAGCAAAAATATATATGAACCTCCCTCATTTACATTTTACCTCAGATCATCGTCAATCTGAGTTAAAGAAGATATCCTTGAGAGGTGATGGGAATATACATAATGAATTTATATATTTTGTTTCAATGAAATTATTTTGTGTGTGATACAGTCATAGTCATTGGAAAGCATGGGGATTACTGCTGTAACAGTGCAGTATCTTTTAAATGACTAATTCTATATTGATGATTTACATAGATTTGTTTTCATTGATTTGAACCCTTTCTCGTTTTCATTGGTTTGAACCATTTACCATTTTCATTGATTTTAACCATTTACTGTTTTCATTGATTTGAACCATTTACCGTTTTCATTGATTTGAACCATTAACAGTTTTCATTGATTTGAACCATTTACCGTTTTCATTGATTTGAACCATTAACAGTTTTCATTGATTTGAACCATTTACCGTTTTCATTGATTTGATCCATTAACAGTTTTTATTGATTTGAACCATTTACCATTTTCATTGATTTGAACCATTTCATTGATTTGAACCATTTACCGTTTTCATTAATTTGAACCATTTCATTGATTTGAACCATTTACCATTTTTATTGATTTGAACCATCTACCATTTTCATTGATTTGAACCATTTACCTTTTTCATTGATTTGAACCATTTGCCATTTTCATTGATTTGAACCATTTACCATTTTCATTGATTTGAACCATTTTCATTGATTTGAACCATTTTCATTGATTTGAACCATTTACCGGTTTCATTGATTTGAACCATTTACCCTTGGACAAATTTTGGGCACTACTAAATTTCTTCCAAATTCTTGCCACAACAAGCTCATATGTCATAGACATCCCAAAAACAGAGAAATTCTTAATATTGGGTGTGGTTTCTATAATCAACGCAGGGGGTACATTAACTTCAATGCACCAGAATGAACATCACTGCATTAGATCCATGGGTTGTGGCATTCACACGCTATATAAGATATATCACTCCAGTTGCAAAGTTTCTATGGTATGTAACCATTGAGGTTGACTTAGCCTCAATTTCAGAGCTAGAAGTCCAGGTAAAAATGACATAAACAAATGAAAATGTAAATTTTCACATTCTGCTTCCTAATACTGACCCGGGATTGTATTATCACCATGCATGAATGATCATATTATGAAGAGGTGGTAGAAAGAAGCCTATTTTACGAATAAGTAACCCTGCATCATGTTTTCTTGAGGTGGCAGCTTTAATATCCTTTCCCCAGTCCCAACCCTTAAGACTGAATATTGAACGACTTGACTTAAAACAGGGGACATGTTCATTTATAAAGTAAACAATATATTTGTACTCCATATAGTGTATAAAATAAAATAAAGTCTAGTGTTAATGTGATTCATAATTTAATTTATAACTGTAAATTGTACATGTAAGTATCTGTGAGTGGTGTGAATTCAATAGATTTAGGATTTTTGTGTAAAATATGATCATTTTGAATAATGCTGAAAGTTGACCTGGATATATAGGGTTTATGTATCTCTAGTTTATAACCTGATCAAGGATTGGCAGCCATTTTCCAAACTTGACCTTTCATTGCCTGGCGTGGAACAATTTCGTAAAAATATTTTTATAATGTTCTCTTTGGACCGAGTATTTCATTGGAAGATGGACATTATGAATATTATGGTAATACATGTATTCAAGCTTCCTTGGGGGTTGTAGTCTTCAAAATATGAGTAATATTATTACCAAATTGATCTATGCCAAGCAACAGAGGATCGAGTTTGAATTACAGCTTCCAACCCTCCTTGTAAACTGACAAGTTGCTCACTCCAGGTCAGAGTAAGCAATCAATTAAGGTAGGCCAAGTAGAACAACTATTTAACACATTTACATTATTCACACTTTTTTGGTTCCAAGTTTGTTATCTCCTGACTCACATCAAAACCCTTACATTGTGAATACCTGCTTTTAAATACTTTTAGACAGATTTTACTGTAAATTTTTTCTGTTGATTATCCCACCATAGTTTGAATATATAGCATATGGCAAAATCTACCTGTCCGACAGTTACTCCTCCCAGTTTTCTACATGTTGAAATGATGAATTCTGCAAGGGGAAAAGACCAATTCAGTGTGAATTCTGGGGGATCTCTGCAGTTTTAAATGACAATATGACAATACTTTGTGAATGTTATTTATTCAGTCATAGTTAATATGCAAATGTCAAATATATAAAGTCAGGGGCAAGTGTTTATTTTCCAGTTTGACAGATAAGTTGTTCTACTTGGCCTGTCTTAACATTGTATGTACAGAAAGTTGAGTAATATTCACCACACGCCATAGGTTCCTGAAAAATATTTAACTAAATATTTTGAGGGATAAAATATATCTGATATCAGTATATGTTATCTTATTAATAGTTTTACGTATGGTGTAATCTTGAGTCACAAAATCGAGTAAGCCAAAAATGTTCAAATATTTTTTGCTTCAGTCACATCTAACTCTTTTTAAGCAGAATTTGTAGTTCATGACATAACATGACCTTTCTCATGGTGCATAAATGATGGGGTTTATACAATCATTAGAAATGTTGAAATCATAAGATATATGTAAATTATCATTTCATTGATGTAATGTTTTAGGTACAAAAAGACGACCGAAGCTCGAGTGAAGGGGAACAGTCCGAGGAAGAGGAAAATGACAACTATTATGATGAAACAAACAAACAAAATGGTGTACAGTCACTTCAAAATGGCTCTACAACAAAGCGTGATATCACAATGGGGCTTAGTGGAGACAGTGCACCCGCTTCATCATAAATTGAACTCTTTCCAGAGTAATGTACACAAATATTCTTACTCATGTGTTAAAAGATGGGGTCCATTTTTGGTATGGTCATAATAAATGATATTTGCTTCTTAAGAACACAAAAGTTAGGGACTATCTTTAAATGGACCTGAGGAATAATGGAGTAAGCCAAGGGGCTACTCTTATGCAACATTCAACTAGTGAAGAAAAACTTGTCACAAAATTGGAAATGTGACAGCCAACCAATGATAGCGAATTTCATATTGTTCTTGAATTATTTTGTAATTTATACTCAATAAACATCTTAATTTTGTATATTCTACATACTGGGTGGGGGTGCCCCAAAAGTAGGTTTACATTTATTCAACAATCTGTTTCTGTAAATTTTGGATCACCCTGTATCATGTGTATGTATATCGAAATTTAAGTCAAATGTTACAATAACAAATGTACGTTGAAATTTTGATTTCGTAATTAGACATTCTCAATTGAGCTGATTGCTAAGCAAGTAAAGCATGTAATATTGATTCTGATAGACCCTTGGTGCACACTACGCAATTTAATTGCTTAATATATAATTGTATAATGGCCAGTCCACCCATATTGGAACATATCAATGTACAACTGCTACATGTAATTAAAGGACTCCGAACTCTATGGGTCATATCTCTATCAAACTGCGTTATCATTTTAAACAAAAATAATAATTTTAAGTGAAAATATCTCCTAACGCAAGATAAGTTCTAGTCAGCCAATAGTTTCAAATCAACATGCTACCACTTGCCAGGGTGTGTATGTGTTTAAGTATGAAGAGTCAACCTTTGGTTTGAAAAAATGCCCAAAATTATATTTACCTTAAATTCATCTTGAAGTGTGACCTTTCTGCCTTTAGAGATCCATAATTGTCACGTTAGGACATTTTCCACACACAAACGATAATATTTTGATGAAATCATCCAATCATGTTCTAATCTAACCAATTGAATCCATCCTTGATATCTGCAGTGTTGCGATTTGTTCATGTTATATGTTGTATTGATGTGTATATGTACCATTAGAATGGAAATAATAAACAAAATGGTGGTAGGGAAAATTACTAACATTTATTTTCAAGGGATACCAAAAATATAGAAAAAATTGACTTCAGATTTTTATATTTTGACTGAAAGCTACATAAGTGTATGTAGCCTTGCTGATTAACTTTTTTATGAACAAAATAATTTTATATATATATGATTATATATTTTCCATTGTTTGAGGTTGTGAGCTTTATATGATGTACAAATTAATGTATATAATCAGAAATATCTCTAGAGATTTTTTGTGTTCCTCATGTCATTTTTCACAATTCAAAATTTGTTGTGTTCTTCATGTGATTTTTCACAATTATAAATTTGGTATAAGTCAGTCTACCGAACATCTGAGCAGACACTTCCTCAGCTTGAAGTAAGCTCGTATTCTCATGATGTCTGAATTAGCTATGATTAAGGCTTTTCATCCTGCGGCCAGTTTTCTATTGGTTTTTTATGAGGTTGTTTAGCTAATTCTCAAGGCTTTTCATATGGCCAACAACTTGTCAACAACAACATGTTTTTCATAGGGGCCAATCTGATAAATCGTAAGGCTTTTCCTAGTGCCAATTCTAATTTTCGAGAAATTCCTGGGACCATTCAAATAATACTCTATGCTATTTTGAGGGCTAATTCTTAAGGTTGGGCAAGATTAAATGTACTTTTTAATTGTGCATGAAGAACACGAGGAACACACATTGAGCATGTCATCCAGGGCTTATTCCTAAGAAAAAGAAAATATTTTGGGTCTTGGGAGTCCTGCAGCCAGAGGATGCAGTTGTCAATTAGAAGTGTGTTGTGAATATAAAGGGAATAATTAAAATGCAGCATCTTTTCGCATTGCAGATATCTAAGGGATCACATTAAGACACTGTATACCAAGCCACAAAGTTTCATTTGTGGGATGGGAGGGTTGTAAGCCTAATGGCAAATTTTTTTGGTATGTTACATTTTCCGACTTCAGATTAGTCGTCGTGGATCAGGCACAAGGCTATTATTTCATGTTTTAGAGGTGGATGGTTTGAGTCTGTTTTTATGTGATCCCTCTGATGCAGTGAGAGTTTCTGTCTTTTGTGACAAAATACAGTATTATGAATTCATATATGAGTATGTATATATAAGCCTAGCCCTTTTACCCATATGTGTAGAATATTCCGTTCATATTTATTCATAACTTGATTTTTGGGAGTTTGTTTCTGAAATAAGCTCCGTAGCGTGATATCAAATTATCAACTCCCAGTTTTTCATGAACTATTTCAAATTTCATCACTTTTTCATGAATAAATCATCATTTTCTATTTGATACCAGCCTTTAGAAGTGCTATGAGTTGCCAGTTTGATTTTTTTTTTTTGATATTTTGATTTATTCAATTTTTTACACTTGGAGGGTGGACTGTTAAAGCTTAGTGGACCTAACCTTGTTCTCAAGAATATTCTTTCCAAACCAAAACCAAACAGGTTTTTATTTCACTGTTATATATGTTTCAACTCATCCAGCTCGAAATGATTATTTTTGTGAATATACTGTTACACAGGCCCAGAATATCATTCTTTGAAAAAGGTAAACTCCATATGGTCCACCCTCACACCTCAGTGAAGTGATTATTTTTTTTGTTAGCTTTTGTTCTTGCGATTTTGTTTTCTGGCAAGATGCTTGATTGATACCTTTCATTTTTATACAGGTATATGTATTTATATAGCTGAGTATTGTATTATTATTTTCTATGATTATAGTTAGTGTTTTGTAATTGAAATCTATATACATTGAAATGAACATGTAATTGATGATCAAAAATAAAAATTTTGTATATTTAAATACAATATTATTTGTTTTATACAAATAAAATAGGGTTACGTTTCATAATCTTTTCTTCTGAAGTACCCATGACTGCTTTCATTAAATAGTCGTTGAATCAAGTCTAAAATATTTTACAAATGAATTTGCCTTGATTTATTCTTTCATTCAGCACTCCTACTTGGAAATCAAGCCAAGGGGGAAAGAAAATAAAAGATTATGAAATCTACATGTATACACAATAAGCATTTAGTTATTTACAATAATCAAGAGATCTTTGCAATCCAATGTATCAAATCGCAATATAAAAATATTTCTAGAGCCTTGTTACCTTCTACACAAAAATTGAGATTTCTAGTCAAAAAGCACTATGTTGAAGAATGAAGACCCCTTTGGAAAAATGAGCCCCATTTCTTGTAAGTGGATATATAAGTATCTTACAATTGTCTGGTGGTTTAGTCTTAAGCTGTGTGATTTCTTCCAATAATAAGATTATTTCTTCACAAATGATGTTTGATTGACACAACTTATCAATAACATATGTTTCTTCATTATCTATTCTTATCAATCGGCATTTTAAAACTTGACTCCTTTGTCAGCATATTTACACAAAGTTCCTCATACAATTTCTTTAAACTTTTGTCTAATTGTCAATATGAAAGATCTGAGATTGTTAGTGGAGTTCAGTTTCTCTACCAGCTCATCAAGACCGCCTACTTCAGGATGACAGTCTGAGACTGAAACAAACATGAATTTAGTGTTTTAGATGTTGGGCATTCAATATTTCATGGCTCATAATATATTTCTACATTTAATTACAAAAACTATGAATGAAGTGAATCCTCCTCCCCTTTTCAATGCTAAAAAATCTGGACATTTCCGCAGCATTAATCTTAAAAGCTACTGATCCACATTTCATCAAATCTCAAATGTTTTTCTGATATTTTAGGATTGTAGGGGAAATAATTGTGCTATTTCTAAAAAGATTTTTAATGATAGATGTCACACAATGAGTGCATGTAATTTCATTAACTCAAATTTTGGCATTATTATAATGAACTTACTGTGATATTTTCCACTGTCATCAACTTTTACTGAGAAGACAAACTTTCTGTCTGGGTCCTGGTGATCAAGGCATGAGAACACAAATTGTAGCACATTACCTGAAAAATACATTGTAATTGACTTACATCTAAAGGTTGGCATCTATTGATTTTTAAACTTACATCCTCAATTCAAAAATCAACACTATTCTATTAAATCATTGGCCTGCATCCTGTTGCATCGGGAACATGTCAGTGGACAGGATATTCACTTGGGGGATTATTCAACATTATTTCCCTCAATGGAAGTTACGTATTGTAGAGACTTTCATTAAATTTTAAGTCATTTATTTCTTATATAGCAACAATTTTAACATTGTTCAGACCTAACTGGGTCTCGCTTTAAAGTATGTTTGTTATAAATTATGAGGACAATTAAATTAAAAGTTGAAACCTAAGCGCCATAACAAAACTGCAAAAACAATATGGCTCTAATCATAGCCTACCTGGAAGTTTTCTCAGCTGTAGCCCAAGTCTGTCCTGGAACCATTCTGCAGATTTCTCTAATTCCTGTAACCTCATTGATGTTGCCTTCTCTTGTAACTCCAGTACTGAAATATCAATTCAGCTTTTCTCAGACACCAAATGAGCTAAATTCTAACATAAATTGTTTATGAAATAACATATTGCTTTCATAAACAATTTCATATAAAATTCACATTATTGTATAATTTCATTATTGTTTTCCAAAGGATTCCAACTTGATTCAAAGTTCTATTTTTCCAATTTTGACTAAAAGAGACCAAAATTGCTACAACAAACATGTTGCAGTTGTCACCATTTCCCAAATTACCAAGTGAACACATTTCTAGATCTTATAATTTGCACAGTCTTAAAAGCATCCAATTGTTCTAATGCTGGGGAAATTCTTGACTTATATAAACTAGATAACAGCAGTGCCAAGGCATAGCAAATCCCATCAAACAGCCATTGCCAAAGTTTTTACGCAGCCACTTAAAATTTCAACAAAATGGCTCTACTACTTTTCAAGTTATAGCAACAACCTAAAATAGCACACATAAAAAGGGACACCATTTTCCAAAATGGCCACTCCTAGCCAAACTGTCAGAAGAAAGTGTAACAATTACTTTTATTTATTCGCATGTTAAATTTCAACAAAATCGCTCCATTACTTTTCTAATTACAGCAAACAAGACACACAGTGATAAATATCACTCTTTGAAGAGGGAAATTGTCATCAAGTAAGGATTGGTATTCATATGGCGAACTGAATTCACGACACTATTGTTTTTTCTCAAACCAATAATTGAAAACATTTTATAAAGAAAACACTGTCCTTATATATTATATATACAGCACATTGCCCAACCAAAATGCTCTTACATGCATGACGGAGCGTTTCATTCATGCGGAAATGCTGCGGAGCCAAATAAAATGGCAGCTAATGAAGATCCCACTATGACTGTAAGTATTGAAAAAATTAAAACAAAAACCCCCAAAAATCGATAAAATTATTTTTGAATCTAGATGTCGCAGTTTGGAACATCTTTGAATAACATTGAGCATACAGAACAACTTAACTGAAATAAATAACTTGGTACTTACATTCTTTTTCTTTGTCAACTGCCTCAGAAGTTTCTTTAACCTCAGCCTGCAGGTGTTCCTTGTCTTCTAGAGCTTTATCTGCCTCTTCTTGTAGATGTTCAATGTCATCACGCATCGACTTCAACTTGTCAACACGCCCAGATATTGCTGAAAGTTATGATCCAATTCAATGCACCATTCAAAGGATTCCTGGAGATCCCAACCCCATCCTTATAGGAAGGGGTTGGAAATTTGACAAAATTGGGCTGTTTAATTTCTGTGTGTCGAATTCCCGACACTTCCCGCTGTGAGGGTTTGACAAAAACCTTTGAACGGTGCATAATTGTAGCCACAGTGCTGCAGTAAAAAATATGACAAATATTCATGTACTTATTTATAAGTAGATCAGAGATGATACTTATATTAAAAATTGTAAAACAAAGTGAAAGAGTTAAAGTAAACAAGATGGTCAAGTACTCAAACTCTATGAAAGTTTGATTAATTGATTTTTCACTGATAGTCAATGTCTAGGATCATATTTTATGTCATACTTGAAAATTGGACAACACTTAATATTTCATAATTCTCAAACATCATGTTTCAACCTCAGCATAAATACATTAAACATAATTGGAATACATGTTTAAAGTATTTATGCATATAATTATAAATGTGTATTTCTATTTCCTTTTAATTATTCATTATGACCTACCTGTATTGTTTTTGGTTGCCTGTGTCTTGAGGGCAGCTAGTGTAGCTTGAAGGGCAGCTATGTCTTCTGTAAATAAGCATAAAGAGCATTCTTTTGAGAATGATAAAAATATATTCCTTTCATGTATTTCAGGTGGAATACACATAATAAATAGGGCCAATGTGACATCTATGTGAAAATAAACACTAACCCTTGAAAATGTTATCAATTTCTGTTATGCTAGAACAGGGTTGCTATGACATTATCAAATCAAATTCCTTGAACTATCCCTTGTTCAAGCAAGTCACTGGAAATCTTCAAACAATCCTCAGATAATCACTTATAGGGGAACAATTATTCTGGGTAAAAGAAACAAATAAAATGCTCACTGCATCCAAGTTACAATGGTTGAATTTTTTCTCATAATATGTATCTATTCTGTATGTGCTCCAATTTTTCAAGTTCGATAATATAATCATCAACAAGAGCAGGTTATTGAACATATTCAAGTAAATAGTGAATTGTAAATGCAGTTTCTTAAAATAAACTGATATGATTAATTATGTACCAAGTCACTGACCTCTACCCTGCTTCATCATTAGTTCATGTTTCTTCTTTTTTTCAGCGAGATATTTCGCCATTTCATCACTCTTCTGTTTCACCTCATCACCCATTCCATCAATCTTACTCTGGAGAAGTTGTTTCTCTTCCAGATAGGAATCATGACTTGTATTTCTCTCATCAACTGCTTTGTCAGTAGCACTGTCCATCTGAAATACAAGAGATCAGAGTCTCTTGAAAACTCAATTCAAATGTTCAACTTCCGTAAGCATAACTAGGCCATAATGCCCGTGTATGCCAGTAGAAGTATTTATTTCCAGCAATCTTTCTGGAATATAAGACAGTCTCGTAGAAGCTCAATTTATATGTTCAACTTCCATAAGCAGAGCTAGGTCATAATGCTCATGTATGCCAGTAGAAGTATTTATTTTCACCAATCTTTCAGTGAAGTTATGCTACCGGAACTCCATTCTCCGAACCTAGGGGTCCAGACATCATCATCCAGACTTCATCCAGGCTGTCTAATGTTGTAAATTGACATGTATGTCTTCTTGTGTTAATATCATATGTTATAAATGATGATTGATGATCAAATGGTATTTTCAACATTAGCATTTATACTTACTTGGAGACATTTTGAAAATCAATTATTATGAATTTACCTCCGTTGATTGACTTGCCATCCTTTATCCTAATGTATGATAAAACTACTTTTGTTGTCCTATCAAAATGATTGTACCTCTAGTCAACTAGTACCAATTCAAATTTCTAATTTGCCCTTATACTGTGGTATATTTATTTTGAACTCTAGAAATATTAATTTATTCAAGTTTGTTCATTCCGCCCTTGCAAAATATGTTTTAGTTCATCATAATAATATAATTTCAAGTTTAAACCATTTGGATATCATTTCATTCAATTATATTGTTAAGATGCCACTTAATTAAACACTTTCAGCTTACAAAGGACAATTTCTTTTCAAAAGTAAAATTTTGAGTTTTAATTGTGTACATATATTGCAAATAAAATAATTTGTGAGGGCCACTGTAAGCTATATGACAACATTCCACAGCCTCCTAAAAATACATCTGCGTCTATAGGAAGGGATGTATCATTTTATCATTTCCCTCAAGTAGGAAAAATGATTAATTACCCTTTTTACATAGTTTAGCCTTGTATTTCTAAATGAGAGCTGTACATGTATTTATCTATCTTTCAATAAAATATAATTTCTTAGTCTTACCTTAAACTAAAAAAAATCCTTTAAAATTGTTGATAAAACAATTATAATTTGATTGGTTACCATGACTACATTGACTTCTAGAGGCCAGCATCTAAAGGGCCTCTAAACTGTAAGAGGTTTGAATTTTACTGCAAGCCTCTGGGTTTCCAGTGATTTTAAGTGATTTAAACAGGCAATGCGCCTATTTTTGAAGGAACAAGGACAAAATATTATTTGAGACATGTCACTCACACAGTCAATCAAATATGATAAAAACTTTTATTTTGGATAATACTGATGTGAAAAAAAAATTACTTGCATAGAAAACAGCATTTGAAGTTCAGAGATTGAAAAAAGTGAATTACCACTTTTCACAAAGTGTATGTTTCAAATAACTCTTGGATTAAAAGATGGCGTATGCTTGAAAATCCTATCAAAAATGAATGGATAATTAATGCAAACAACAATGCCATCTTTCTATCGCATTGCTAAAAACTTGACATATAAAAATTGATAGATCAAAAATATTTTTTCATGATCTAGTGTCAATTCTGATGTGGTCTGTTTGAGCTGTTTTTGGTGTCAAATGAAAGATCAGGTACTTATTTATCCATTGGAAATACTATGAAGATTTAAAGTGAGACTTCATTTACGCACCTTATCCCTTTAAACTTATTAATTTGATGACATTAATTAATAGGTCAATTAAACATTCTGATTCCATTTTAGCAGGGTTTCCTATTAGATTAGAATTATTATTTAACTTGTACTTGGAAAACAGCCACATTCAGAGTAGCATAAGCAAATCCCATTGAACAAAACCTATTTTACAAATCACATAACTGAATTGAACATAACATGATATAAACAACCAGATGGTAGAAAAGTTACATTGTCTCCTCTTGGCAAAATCTCTCCATCATTATGTGATATGATGTTAGAGAGGTCCTATGGCCATAAGCCTATAAAACAGGGTAACTGGTATTTGTCTAATTATAAAAATGATATTTTCTCTGAAAATGGAGGCTTATTATATATTGAGCACCATCCTATGTCCCTGGGGCATCAGCATATAAAATGTGAACCAAACAAATCAACTGGTATGTTATTTGTCAAAGATTTTTTATGAAGTATGGTCCAGGTAAATACACCCTCAGAAATATACAGATATCCAACTTAAAACTTGAACTCCACATCATTCAATATTTGTATAACATTACATTTTAAAATTGACAGATTACAGAATTTTGCATAATAGCCTACAGCAAATTTTCTTGTTTTATATTTAGTTGCTTTGGGAACATATTTGGGTTCCATTATAGACTTTACCAATGATGTCATAGAGAGAGATCACTTGTTTTAAATAGTAACAGTTACTACAAACACATGAACAAAGAAATGACATCACAGTACCCCAAAAAGTTAGAAAATTCAATTCATATTTGTGAGGTCACTAACAGAGATTATGATGTCACAGCCTATGTTTACGGTGTCACAATACTTGTGGTTGCTAATATACACAAAATAGAAAGTTTTGAACATTCTACAAGCTTTTTGACAAGCTCCTGCAATATTTTGAGAAGAAAAATACAAACAAAGAGAGATGATCCTAGTTGGAGTATTTGCTCCAGGTTGAAATAACAAGACACACAGTGATAAATATTGCACTTTGAAGAGCAAACTGGCCACCATGCAATTTACCCAGCATGGCCAAAACCTAATCAGACCTTGGCACTAGTCTGCTCTTGCATCTGTAAACATTTCAAGTTGACAAGGTTAGGCCATAAGAAGTTGATTCTTTGTTTTGCGTCCCCGTGCGTGCACGATTTTGAGCAAATCAGAAAAAACAAACACACTCAAATATCGATCCCCGGGATCTAAATTTGAACCAAATTTCGTTCAGTGCTCTTTAATTTGAAAAAAAAAGATGGCGGGCGATTTGATCTGCGTCCGAATTGAAGGATTCATTGACTATTTTGCCATGGAGATGGGGCCTAAAACGACGATTAGTACTGTGCTAGAAGGCCTGTCTATCGCTAGCAAACAGGAAGATCTTCCCGGTAGGACTACGTCAGGCCCACCGCTTAAGAGATTTAAGAAAGCCATTGAAATCGGAAAAGGTAGTGTGACAACCATCGAGTTCAGTCCCGATATTTAAACTTTTCTAAGAGTTGTCATTCACGTTTGACTTCACTGGATGGTGTCATTAAGTCTTAAGTATCAATCTAAATCATCGTAACAATAAGGTCTTTCTGTTTTATATGGTTTCAAGGTACTTTATTAGCGAGTTTTGGGCTCAGAAGTAGTAATATTTCTGCCAATAGATGGCGTTTATTTGTTATAGCGACAAACAACCTTGAGCCGGCCAATCAAAACGCTGATTTCGGAACACGAAGTTGTTGCATGATCTAGCAAGGTGAATCATATTTCTCTTGGACTTGGAACGCCGAGTCGAACTTTTTAATTGTGTTTTAACTTGGTTTTATTTTGGATATTCTTGGTTTATTTCATTCAAAAACAGGATTAATATTGTTGTGGATTATCGTCAACAACGTTGAGATACATCCAGTGGTGAGTTGAGCTTTATTTTTGGTAGATAATTGAAGTTTCAAGTCTCAGAATCTGGGAAGATATTTTCGCCATTTTCAGACGGTGCCTGTCGAGAAATTCTCGAACTTTTGGTTCAAGTTGCAGCTTAATATGTGGCCATCTGCGATTCATTCCTAGTTTGTTTTCTTAGTTGCAATGTTAACTGTATGTGTATGCCGCACACTTTGATTAATTATTGTTCGTGTATTTTGATCTTGAAAACTTTGGCAAAAGGCTGAAGATTCGCACATGTTTATGATGCAAGAATTTTGCATACTTTTCTGTAGATTTTAGTTGAACATCGGGTATCGTTTAAGTACTATTTGTGAATTGTATCTTTGTTCAGGATTTGACAAGGATGCATGTAGATATTTGCTGCTTATTGTTCGTGTTTTCTGTTAATAGATTGAGTCATTTACGTGATTCCCGGGGATACACGTGGAATGCACGTGATTCGCCATTGTTATGAAAAGTTGTGAGCATTCTCAAACTTTTCCGTCAATATATCTGTGTTAGTTTTACTTTAGTTATGTGTTAATCTAGGTTGTTCCTTATGTCACAGAAGACTGTGACATTGGACATTTTGTGTCTATGATCAATAATCCAACATGTGAATTACATGTATTTGTTAGTTATTTTGGACCACTGTATAGTGTAGTGATGCTACATGAAAAAGGCATTTGATGCATTGGCTCAGAACATGAGTATGTATTGTAACTGATCATGCAGAATTGTAGTGATAGTTACTCAGGTTTAGTGTTAGTGTACATATCTTAGTATATAGTTCTCTGTTTTGTGATTTGCCAGTATTCTGTGCATAAATTCTAATGTACATATCTTAGTATATACGTAGTTCTCTGTTTTGTGATTTGCTAGTATTCTGTGCATAAATTCTGAGGTTAATAGAGTGGCAGTAATTGTTATTTCATTTTGAGGATCTTGCATTTTTATTTGGACATAAGCTCAAATGGCAGAAGTCTGCTTTAGGTTTTCATATAGAGCCAAACAAATGATTTTCATTGTTCACAGTTAACAGACTGTGGTTGTCAGTTCTTAATATTTTGTATAAAGTGCTCACTAGTATCGTTAGGAATACGCGGAATGCCGCTACTCTTGCAAATACCACCTCCTCTTATATTTCACGATAATTCTAGATTTAACTTTTTCATATACAGTTAGATAAATACCCACTTTTGTACAAAGGATCAATAAATAAGTTTTGTTTTACATTTATAGAAATTTACATGCTTTTCTTATGTTCAATTATGGGCTGAGCATAGTGAGATGCTGCCATCTATTTTTATGTCATTCAGATGACATATTGTTCAAGTGCTGCCATCTTTTGAACTTTGTAAAAGATGATTTAATCCAACCACTGCAGAAGGCTGCTGTGGACAAG